CAGCCCACACGCCCTGCAGCAACTCCCCCTCCTCGGAGACCCCTGGATATTTTCTTTTCCGAGGACTCACCTTGAACCTGGGCACTCAGCTTCTCCAGGTCCTGCTCTGTCATGTGGGAAAATCTGCAGTTGGACCCAAAATCACACTGTCCTGGAACAAAAGCCACGGAGCTCCGTGAGAGCCGCACACACAGGGTCCTCCCTCGTAAATGGGCATGCCAACCCAAGATCCACCACACCTGCACTCTGGACACGCAGGCCCAAGCCCTTCGTTCCCTCCAAGGCAAACACACATACCAGGGCTCTCTGGAACAGCCCTGGGCTGGCTCTCGAAGGAGCTGCTGGGGCTCAGGCAGTTATTTCTACCTCAGAAGAACTCACCTGTTTGCAGAAACTTCCGACACGGTTTCTTGGTTTGCTCCTCTTGCAGGATAGCGGCAGCATCTAGGGGAGACAAAGGACAGAGCAGGGTGAAGATCTCTCGCACGGCAACACCCCGTCGGATAGCGGCCAGTTGCCTAGTGGGGAGACATTTTACATGACAACCAGGAACTGAAGCCACGGACAAACTGACAGTTAACAGTCCCTGTTTGCACCCTCGGCTTCAGCTTTTCACTGGCTTGCAAATATCACCTTCTTTGCTTTCTGCTTCATGCTTTCTCCCCACGCCAGCAGGGGAAAAGAAGCATGACAGAAAAGCAAGGACTCTGCAGCACTTCTGTGCAGCAGAGAAAGCCCAGGCAGACTCACAGAGCTCTCAGAAAAGCTCCGCTCGAGGCCTCACAGAACCCCTTGCCGTGTCTCCAGTGGACACCACCGAAATGGTCCTTCACCACCCAGAGATGTCCTGGGGAAAACGAGCCCCAAAGATACAGCAGCTCCCATAGACGGTGGAAGAACTTGCACTGGCTGACACCAGGCCACAGAGTCTGAAGACAAGAGGAGATGAACCCTCTAGACAGGGATGGGATGAAGAATTTTATCAATCAGAGGAAAAATCAAGGGTTGCAGCCTGGTGAGGAGACAAGCACTAGGTAATCTGCCTCCCTGTCAGTGATGCTGCTAGAACTGTGCCAGGCTGGGGCTGTTGGTCCTCCACACTTGGCCATTACAGAGAACCTTTCCAGCTTTCACGTACGGTTAAGCAGACAGCAGAGCCACCCAAGAGCTCCCCAGGGTACTCCTCACCTAGCCAGCCAGGAGACAAACACAGACTGCAACTCCTGATCCTGAAGAACCACAAGGAAGCAGAGGAACATCCAGGCAATGGTTGCACAATCAGTTTAACCCCAACGAAGTCTTTGCTACTGCCAAAATAGAGTCCTGCTCGCTCTCTCTCTCTCTCTCTCAGGCCCTGGACACACATTCCCACCGCACTCCCCAGGCTGGCACTAAGACACGCGTAACTGCGTGGCGAGCTGGGTCAGAGCGCGGAGCTGCGCGAGATGAGCCCTGTTAAAGAGGCAGAGGACACAGGGCTTTCCTCCAGCGTGCCCCGACACACCCTCCAGCCCCAGAATCCCAATTCCTCCTCTGCCAAAGCCTCAGCGCACCTAGCCCTCCTCCTCCGCTCGCCCCCTTGGCTAAGGTAGGTTGGAGCTTACCCGTGCTTTGAGCCGCTTCCCCAGCCCTTTCACCCTTCTGGGATCTCCAGTCAAGCGGTCGCATCCTCAACCTCTCCCATGGGCGCCCGCAGAACTGACATCTCCGCCCAGCTGCCGGCCTCCCGCCCACTCACACAGGACGCGCGTCCAGCCTGCCTTCCAGCCCGCTTTCTCCACGTACACACCCGTCCTCCTTGCTCCTCGCACCACAGAGGTCAACTCAGGTTTGCAGAAGGCACCGAACTCGCCTTCAGAAACTCACTTTGTTCTCTCAGGTCTCCTGTCTCAGATGTGCTCCTGACGCCAGGAGTTTGCTTTATCTGCAACTCCTGCTCTCCACAACAACCTCTCTATCTCTTCCACCTCACGTCAAGCCCCAGCTGATGTTTACAGTTTCCCCTTTTTGCATCCAGACACAGGAGGGTTTTGCCTCTGAGACCGCTTGATAGCAACAGCATCAAGCCCGCAATTCACTGGCACGGACAATCTGAATATAAGTCACCAGCGATCATTTATTTTATCTATTTCCCCCCCTCTGCACCTCCCCAATCCCAGAAAGGGAGTGGCAGACAGTCGGTAGTACCCACCTCGGAATAAGTCGTACCAGACTCTCTTCGCCCTGAGATGCTGCACGCCATTGAGGTGTTTCTTCCTGTTGTGAAGGTTGTCCTGAAAGGACCTGTCACAGTAGTCACAGAAGTATCTTTTCCCCATCTCTCTTCTGGCACAGCAGCATCAGCGTGGCCTGGGAACCATCAGACAGATCCTCGGCACCCGGCCATGCCTGCCCTGGGGATGGCAGATCCCAGATTTACAGCGCCTGCTTCCAAAGGAGAAGAACTCAAATCATTTAGGGTTGGCAGACAGAGACCCCACAGTACATATTCTTGTCCATCAGAGACTGGTAAGGCAGCATCTGCCACACGTACACGGGAGAACAGGCTCGGATCCGCATTTCTTGCCTCCGTTATCCAAAGCAACAACATCTCTGCTGAAAGAATTCTCCTTCCCTGAGCACGCTGGGGTTCAGACCAGGCAAAGCAGAGACTCCAGAGCGCCAAGGGCTCCCAGCCACCACCTGCACCAGGGAAGGTGCAGCAGAAACCATCCGATGTGCAAACAGGAGGTGCTAGAGGTCCATGCCACAGCCTCTACCTGGCGCCCCGGGACTTTTAACCCTGGTCCCCAGACAACCTCCACAAGCTGCTGTGCCAGAGGAAGGAAACGCCCTCACGTCCATCTCTGTAAGGTGAGGAACAAACCCAGCAGCTCCTCAAAGATGGGAAAAAAAAAAAAAAAAAAAAAAAGCTGATCCCACCTGTACTGCAAGTGGGAAGCTGCATGACAAACACCAAAGGACATAACGCTTCGTTCAGTTCACCAAGCCACCTATTTACTCCTGCACATCGAGGACTGCTCTCCTCATCCTCCCCAGCCTAGGGCAGCAGGACGTGTCTGCTCCACTGAGTACACAACTTGCACTAAGATCACAACCACCTCACAGCCAGGAGGAAAGAACCCCCAACTCCACGGCCACTGAACCAGGAGACGGCCGGTCCTTCTCCTCCCACAGGGGAGAGGGGCTTATCACACAGAGCTTTGTAGTCTGGAGGTTCTGCTGTGGGGTATTGAGAAGTGACAGGACAGAATTCGGGCGCTCTCATCTGTGCTGGGCCTGGAGCAGCCCAGACTGGTAGGGCAGACGGGGTTTGTGATGGAGTGCAGCCCTGTCCCCGCTGGCTCTGCTCGCTGGAGGTGCAACAGATACCCTGAAGGAGCTGTAAGTTCTCTCCCGAGTGATAGAACGGTACCTGATAAATGCCAAAGATGGACAGACGGGGAGATAAACTCCGAAAGCAATTCTCCAGTTTTTGACACCTTGACAGCCAAATGCCTTTAAAAAAATGGCACGGAGACCAGCGCAAGAAATAAAGATTTTATAAATAAAACAGGGTCAGAATCAATCACAGCCGCCCCAACGATTCCTCAGAATCAGCGGGAAGAGCAGCACCAAGAGGCAACCCCTCGGAGTCGAGCCCTCCTGCCTGCCAGCCAGCCTGGCATCTCGGGAGCAACTGTGCCAAACCTCCTTCCTTCCCCTGCTCCTGAGAACCGCTTCCCTGGAAATCCCTCAGGCCTCGCACCACACGGTAAAACGCAGCCTCCCGCAGCTGCAGTCAATGGAAAGATCTGATTTTTTTTTTTTAATTGGCTTGCAAAGCTTCACACTGAAGGTAAAACGTTCAGAGATTCCACTGAGCTGGAAACCTCTTTGGTTTAAGGTCCTTTCCCCGTTCTCCAGCCAAAACGCCCTGTTGGGAGGCGGTGCTGATCAGCCAGCCGTCTCTCCCTGGTGCAACCGCAAACCGCTTCACCCGCAAACACCACCAGACCCAGCTCCCGCTTGGAAGGGGTAACTCAGCTCTGCAGCACCCGGGGTCTGAAATGGCCCTACTCCAGCCCAAGAAACCAAAACCAAGGCCGTAGTTTCCCCCCATCCTTTACTAGACCGTCCCAGAGCTCTGCAGCCAGCCTGGCAGCCAGCTTTGCTGCACTGTGGTGGGGCTGCTGGGACCCAGAGGGAACGCTCGTACCCTCAGCGGCCGGCCCGCTGGCAGGCTCTGCTGTGGCTTTTCAGCATTGAAAAATCTCCCTTCCACATCTTATGCCACAGTCTCCCAAAGTTTCTGGTAACATAAAAGCCTCCTGCTTCAGCTGCTGGCTCCTGCCTTCCATGTCTGCAGAAGCAGCTGCTCTGAACAGGGAAAACAAACGAGATTCTGCAGCGGTCCCACACAAGTTTCCACCACAGATCTCACTGGGAATTCTGCCTGCAGAAGCCCAGCAGCAGTCAGCCTTTGAAATCGTATTTCAAACTTTTCCTTTCATCACCCCGACAGCAATAATTGCAGAAGCTCCTTCCCCCTCCTTCCCCAACAAGGAGGGCAGAAAGCTCCTACAGATTTCAGGCAGCCAGACCCCATACCCCAGAGGCGCCGGCTCCCAAATTCTCCTAGCAATTCCCATTGCAGGGGATGAATGGAATAAAAGAAGCAATTAGAGGAGCATCAGATTCTCCCAGAGATCGCCCCCTCCAAAGATTACACTGAACACTTATTTCCATCTTTTTAAGAATTCAGTTGCGTGGATGATCTTGGCTGGAGTCTGACAACTCTCTGCAGCACCAGCAGTCCACTGCGCTTTGCACCGAACTGGTACGCAGGAATAAAAGCTGCTTCTGAGCAGCACGGGCTAACCTATTTCCATTTCCCCAAACGGCTCGAGCAGTAAACAAAGAGCATTATTCAGTTGAAAACAGAGATGTTTTCTAATTAAATCCATCTCAGTCATTATGAAATGAAGCAAATGTAGCTGCTTTATAAAGAACTGCTTCAGCTTGGCCATTTCCTCTTAACATTTCTAGACCCTAATTTGCAATTGAATTCAGGCAAATAGACCCCTGGACCCACAGGCAGCCATAAACGATTTCAGACAGGCTTTGTACCAGCTTAAAAGTCTTTCTGCATAAATCCAAATACAAAAAAAAAAAGCCAGGGCTTTGTCTTGTATCTTGATGCTTAAAAGTATTAACAAAAAAATCCTCTGCTGTAAGCCAATGTAAGCCATTGCTGGAGCAATGTTTTATTAGAAATAGCACGTTCTAAGACACGCAGCCAGGGTTTCACTCACCTCGCTGAGGTGCTTGGTAAAACTCCAGGCAGGATCTCATGTGCACCACCCTACCTTTTCCCTTCTCAAACCGCTGCCAAAACGCTCCACATCGCGCTGTACTGGCTACAGATTGTTGTTTAGGGCTCTCCAGGGGGTTCTTTCACCGATCCCCCCCCCGAGATGTGGGCAGAGGGAGGAAGGTGACC